GAGATGGGGTAGAGAAAATAACAGATAAAGTATAAGGATATAGTGAAAGAAACGTTTGAAATGCACTTAGGAGGTTTTTAGGGATTACACAAAGGAAATTTGAGATTTTTGAGATGACGAAAAGTATTTTTAATTTAACAAATACTCGATATATTCATGGACAAATCTTTATTTTATCATAAAAAACTTCACTAAGAAATATGACTTTGTATGTAAAAGACTTGTAATATTAACTGCAAGAGTGCCAAATTTCGTAAAGATATACCCAATGTACTGAGAGTTATAAGTATTAATCTATAAAGACTTTACACAAGTACCAAACGTCAAATTGACCGACCCCAAACTAGCGAAACCACAGCCAAGGGAACGGGCTTGGAAAAATCTCTTAAGGTAGCCAAATGCCTCGTCATCTAATTAGTGACGCGCATGAATGGATTAACGAGATTCCCACTGTCCCTATCTACTATCTAGCAAAACCACAGCCAAGGGAACGGGCTTGGAAAAATCAGGACTAGAAACGTGGACCATGCGGTCCGCTCTCCGCTTCACCGATATTATTAGTTGTTTGTTGAATTGTTTATAACAAAAAATTTATTTCTTGCTTATGGTGTTTGCATTTAAATGTAATTGTACAAATATTGTAATTTTATGTTAAATCAAAACCGAGACACCAAAAACAGAAAAAAAGATGCAATGCAAATGTCAATCCTTGGAGGTTGTCATAATGATTATCTGGGGTTCTTGAAAATGGTTGTTTAATATTTAAATGAAAAAAATACAAAAAAAGACTATATTTCAATTAACTTAGAACTAGTCTTTCACCTTAAAACTAGTTCATTAAAAATATCATGCAAATATTTTTAACTACAGATCTAGCTGAGGCCATATCTATGTTAATAAATTTCATGCTTTTAATTTCATCAAATACAGACAATATTTCATAAAACCAGTCTGTCATTAGGTTTCTGTGTAGTTATAAACTTCTTGCAGTACATGTATATGGAATTCTTTAAACACATTTTTGTTATATTGCAGGTATTTCTTTTTCATCTTAATGCATCATATTTAACTGCACAATGCTGAGCCGATAGAGTAGAAGTTTAACACAGTAAAAACATTATCAACATAATGTTCATTAAATTGTTAGACTGGAGAAATTATGCATTCTACAGAATATGTCTTGCTTTAGAGGTCATTATATATTTATAATGAAATTTACACTGTTGTTACCTATCAGTAGATCAAAACAAAAATAAATGTTCTGTTAAATGAATATGCACCATCTCCATATTTAAGAAGGAATGTTGACTTAAGGTTCTCTAATCAAATAGCTGAATTTGACCACCACTCTAATAAAGCATTTTTGGCTCCAAAATGTGAAGAAGCTCCTCTTCTAAGTAATTATTGCTCATGAGATACATCCAGGTAAAACAGACTTCTTCATGTGTGTATGTATAAAACTTAAAACTAATGTATCTGAAAATTCCAGGATCTTAAAATATAGTATTTGTTGTACCAATTCTTTGGTTATTAGCAAAACATACTGCACAACTTCATTTAACTCTTTCAGCACGAGCTCGGTCTCTGGGACTGACCTCGTAACCATTTTGTACTTGTTATAGTTCTTAAAGCATAGAACAGTAAATAAAGAAGTACAACAAACAATTATTTCTTCTAGTTATGACCTTTGTACTCGGTTGCTAAGTCTTTCAAAATTTTGCACGTGGAGGATATGAAACAAAATAAATTATTTTAGGTTTTATATATATACAGTTCAATAACCAAAATCATAAAGTACTACATCAATACCATAGAATTCCACTATAATTTATCAAGATTAGTAACTAAGCTGTATTTCAGTCTAAAAGAATATGAAATTTTGAGCAAACACAACCTACCTCATTGAAATCTTGGTTCAAAAGAAAGAGATAGCATCCTAACACTTTAAAATGGCTGAGAAAGCCACTAGGGGGACATTCTGAGCTTTGGATTAGTTATTCATGTCATATATAGCATTCCAAAAATGGAATAAAGTGGGTGGGGTGCCACTGTGTTTGATTTATT